TCCACTTATATTTGTGTGCTCAAACGCTTGAGCTCGTGAAACATCACACACGCACGCACACGCACACGCATACGCGCACGCACACACGCACGCACGCACGCACGCACGCACGCACGCACGCACGCACGCACGCACGCACGCGCGCGCGCGCGCGCACGCACAGACGATGCAATAAGTCATGAGAAGGGGCACCCCATTGACACTAACCATAGAGACACGCCATTTCTAAACCCAAGCAATGCTATACGTCGGCACGACATGACCCTCCGACCTCTTGTATTGTGTAACCATTCAACTCTATAATAATGATATCATAAGATCACTTAGTGTTACGTCACATGAACAACGACAGGGAAAAACATCTCGTCACATTTAATGCAGAGCATCCCTCCCATGTAAAACGGTGTCCCCACATTCCCATATCGGAGTTCAGCGTGCGCAAAGCTTCGTAAGCAAGCACTGGCATCACAAATTGTATTACAGGAAAGACTTCCCCACTCTGCAAGATAGCTCTCAGTGCTGTTCCGCCGTTAATTCCCTCGCCGCCATTTTTGCCAGAGACAAGCGCTTGTCGCAAGCAGAGACAAGACAAGTTGTCCGAGTCAATTGACGAAGTCAATGGAGTTGTGTAGCTGCGATACACGAAATATCACATATCGTGTTTCACTGCCGAGTGTCTGAGTGGGGTGTAGCGGTACCCCCACAGTCGTTGATTTTTTTCAGAGTAACTTTCAGACCACTTGGGCAAGCCCAACAAACATTTGGGATAATTCAGGTGATCACCACATTCTCCCGATGAAAAATCGATGCAAGTTCAGACCACGAATTTATGACGTAGAAGAATGACGTGACGCTGTGACGTGACTATTTATGACCTAGAAGTTTGCATGACTGCCTCCTCTCTCAGTAGCAATTAACTGTTTTCTTTCATGTCTTGGCCTGTGTTGGCGTGACTAATCGCCTATCCTGACTGGCCATGAGGGTCATTCAGACTATACGTCACTCCAGGTCACTGGCGGCTCCACATGGTCCCCAGGTCGTGCCAGGTCACCCTACAAGTGTCGTGATTAAATGAGCCGTGGTGCCCGTTTGTCATAAATAACCCCGTATGCTGTACAAAAGTCGCACGATGATCCCTCTAGGCCATTTGAGCTAAACGAGCATCTCTGCATGCATATCGGTAAATATGAGAATCACGCATGATCTGCGTGCTATCTGAGGTCCTGGCTGACTTACAAGACTCGCGTGCGGAATGTCACACGAAGATACGCCACAAAATTTTTTGAGTACAAAGTTTCATGGCGAAGAAATGTGAGAAAAAGGTCTATCCTGGAACCCAGAGCAGCAAATAAACCAAACTTAATATAACCATGGTAACTGTCCCAAAACAAGCCAAATCATTAACACAAATGTTTTAAAATGTAACCAACCAGCGATGCCACTGCATCGTGCCTGGATTGGCTGCCCGTTTCCCCGCCCCCTCCCTTTAGAATCGTGCATGAACTGCTACGAAATGGCAAATGCGGCATTGCCATCTACAGCCGCACCGTTCTCTTCACAAATGACCTGAATGCCTGTGCCAACGTCAGAATCTGTGCACCGATGATGTCAGGGGGGTCTGTACACTGACGATGTTAGGGTCTGTGCACCGACGGTGTCAGGGTCTGCAAGCAACAATGTCATGGTTTGTGCACTGACGACGTCGGGGCCTGTACACTGATGTCAGGGTCTGTGCACCGACGACAACCAACGATGTCATGGTCTGAGCACCGACGATGTAAGGGTCTGTAACCAACGATGTCTGGGTCTGTACACCGACAATGTCAAGGTCTGCACTGCCAGCACCCACGGCTGACGGCTGAGACCGGTGTCTGGTGACCGGTGTCCAGTGACCGGTGTCCGGTGTCCAGTGTCCAGTGTCCAGTGTCCAGTGTCCAGTGTCCAGTGTCCAGTGTCCGGTGTCCGGCCGTCCGGTGTCCGGTATTCGGTGATCAGTGTCCGGTGTCCGGTGACCGGTGTCCGGTGCGGTCGCACGGCTCGCCGCCACGTACCTTGACTGTGCCACAGCCACGACCAAAGTGGACCAGAATCACCCGCAGGCAGTTCAGCGACGACGGCGTTGCCTGGCAACAGAGGAGCCACCAAATGGTCGCATACTGACTCAAGACTGGTGCGCAGCACAAAGAAATGCCCGGGAACAAAAATATTGAAAAAGTTAACCAAGAAGCGCCACACAAGAAGAAGCTATGGGAGGTAAGCCGAGCTGATATTGAAAAACATGAGGCTAACAAACACTCTTATACACGCTACCGGTTTATGACAAAATATAGCACTTGGTAGCAAAAAGGTCTTGTTTTTATTGCTTATGATGCTTGCAACAGTAAGATCGCCAACTGCATTGCTTGCATTCCTCCCGTTCCTTTTTCTTGATTGCACTTAAGGACAGTCAAAATGGCAGATATCACTAGCTGTCCCCCACGTGAACTCGATGGGAACTTTCCCGTTTGGTCCAGTGCTGTCATGTGGTAGGCCTAAAATTAGGCGCAGGTATATGCGTGATGAGAAGACGAGCAAAGAGGCGACAACAAATGTAGTGGCAAGTGGACGCATAACTAACGTAGCGTATCGAAATATAGCATACGCTAACGCAGACCAAATGTGTTCAGTGAAACACTCAGGCCCCTTTTACAAAAACCATGACAGCGAAATCTAAGGGCAACTACCCAGGCGTCGGCCAAAACCAAAGTTGCGACACAGAGCCGATCCCAACGGGACCAATCCGATCATCTGGGTGCGCCCGCTGCGCGCCTGCCCGGTCACGCAGTGCCGCAGGTTGCCGTCAGCGGCAGCGGGCCTGCGCGTGGGCGACCCACCTTGTCGGAGCTCTCGATGAGCGGCGTGACCAGCTGGGCCAGCGCCCCGCCGGCCAGCTGGCGGTGCGCCTCCTCCAGCCGGGCGGCCTCGGCCAGCAGGCGCGCGGCGGCGCGGCAGGCGGCGTCGCGGCACCACAGGTGGCGCGGCGAGCGCAGCGCCCCGCCAGAAACTGGCACCAGGGCGTCAGGCGCTCGGCCAGCTGCGCGGCCGGCAGGCGCGACGCGCAGTGGCGCAGCAGGCGCAGGGCGCGCCGCGGGTCGGCCAGCCGCGCCGGCCCGGCCGCCACGATTGCCGCCGCCTCGCGCAGCAGCGCCGCCAGCGTGGCCTCGTCCTGCGGCAGGCGGCCGGTGCCCCGGGCAACGTTTGTAAAGCGTGATTGTTTTGTTCCGCCGCGGCTGGGATCTCGACATACGATGACCAACTGTGCTACTGCTCACTATTCTTTTGTTTTTACTGATAGGCCTAAGCTTTACCATACGGGATGAGACTGGGCTTAAACATACAGTTGTGGCCTTCGCGCATGTAGGAAACCCCTGGTTATCCGATCTTGGCAGTCATGATTGGCTTCACTGCATAGGGAACTTTAAATGATCCCCGATCCGGACAGTCCCATCCACGACACCTCAAATCAGCCCAATTACGACAGTTAATCGCTTCCGTCCAACGCCGTGCACCTACCTCTGGCAGGAGGTGCAGAGGTTCATAGAACGGCTCGGCCTGGCTGACAGGCGCGCTGTCCGGTTGCTGTGCCTGCGCAGAGCTGCTCTCCCCGTTCGGCAGTGTCACGGACGGCCGCGCGACGGACGGCCCAGGCTCCAAGGCCACCTCCTCCTGGAGACGCCGGCGCTTTCGACCGGCTCGCCCCATGGCCGGCGGCTCTGTCGGACGGGTGCGGTCAGGTACGGGACACCCTGCTCTGTCGGACGGGTGCGGTCAGGTACGGAACACCCTGCTC